TCTGCGCTAAAGTGTGTCTTCACAACCTTTTCCTCTGGTTGACCCACTTGATAACCTGAAAAAAAACACCACCACCAACAGAAAAAAAACCCAGGAAGTGCCGCTCCCATTTCCAGGACCAACGGAAGCTATTTTTTCTAATGGATAATAAGCTGAAAGGCCATGGCTGTCTGGAAGGTTAAACAACAAACATCTCATCCGAAAGGGCTTACGCAGCAGCTTAGGTCCATCCGTCTCCAGAAGCAGCTTCGTCTCCTTGCCTGCAGTCTGCACACCCAGGCTCCGTAGTTTGTTTAGAAAATAGTTTGCACAAACCACATTTTAGCAGTGCAAGCTTCTGTGTTGAAATCATTATTATTATTTCATTTCTTTTCTTTTTTTTTTTTTTTTTTAACTCATGCTTGTTTCATTGAAGGCACTTGGTTTCCATGGCAATTTATAAAAGACGGTGGTTTGGTTTCTTCACTTCATTAGAACAGATGACTCAGTTGGGGAGGGGAGAGGGGTGTTCGAGTGGCCGCGAGCAAACTCCGATAAGCCTGTGTAATATGTAAGCCCAGGTCGCACATCCTGGATAGTAATGCATGCAAAAGGAGACAGCTTACAGTTATCAAGCATAGCCATGAGAAATGAAACATAAACGTCTTAAAACAGGTCTGATTTAGGGTTATTCTATAGGGGAGGTGACAGCCAAAGTAGAAAGGGCCTACAATTACTTAACTCTATATTAAAAACCTTCTTGAAGGGAAAATGAATGCCAGCTCTTCACATACCCTGTTTACAGTGAGGTGTTTCTCTCTATTTCCTCTCTCCTCCTTTTTTTTTTTATTTTCTTTTTTTTTGGCAGGCCATTAGGTTTCCATGGTAACAAGCAAACTATTCATTTGAAACAAAACCAGCCATGACTTTGTGCTTTGACAAGGGTTTCTATAGCTCTTTTCCGAGAGTTCAACCAGACGATGCTGTATTCGTTATTGACCACAAAAGCACCTGAAGGTCTCTTCCTTCCTTAGGCCAGATCTCGTTCTCACGCGTGGTTCATAGTGAGTTAACACTCCCGTGATGCCTTTTATGTCCCCAGTGCTTTTTAATTTCTTTTAATTATTTATTTATGTATTTACTTAACTTTTGAGTCAGTCAGTGGAGGAATCTTTGGTAGATTGTTTTTAAATGTCCATTTTACAAAGACTCTTTCTTCATGCCAGTGCCTGGTGAATCTTTTGTAGCCTCTGCCAGGATAAGGTCACCTCTGATGACTTAAGACAGACATGAGGATGAGAACTGGGATAAGTCGTATATGCGCTAATGTCCCAACAGCACCTGATCGTAAATCTACAAAAAGGGGGGAAAAAGGGAGAATTAAAGAGCTGCCCAGGCACAGTCAGCATCGCTACAAGGCTCAGAGGATACAGGGCTCATGACCACAACCTCTCCTGAACACCGAGGCGGAGGCAGCCGGGGAGGACAATGGGATGGTGGTCACCTGGGCTCTCTCTGCTTGTCACACCGAGTGCCACCGACCTCCCTGGCAGAGCCCTGGTCTCTTCTAGGGCCAGTGCTCTGCAAGGTCCTACAAAGAGGGGATGGGAATAGCGCTCGCCAAGTGAATGAGGCAGATGCTGGGATAAAAAACCACCTGGCTGTGTAGTTAAGGTCTGTATTGTAATGCACACATGGGCGTGGAGGGATGGAACAAGGTCCAGAGGGAATCACAACGCTGGTATTCAGTAATTTCATGTTGTGTGGGCTCCCTGAATGTTTTTAAATGTTCCTTTATCTGTCTGCCCATCTTGAATCACGGCCGCCCTGCCCAGCCCGCTGCCGAACGCCCATCAGCCTTTCACTTGCATCACTGCCAAACCAGCATCCTCCCCTCTGAACAAGGGCGTTTTGACTCCAGAGCCTGCTTCCAAGGAAAACTTTTCCCTTTAAGTCTCTCCAGCTGAACCAAACAATATATTGTTCTCTTGGAGAAAATCCATTTTGGAAGGTGACTCAAATGTATAACCACGAGAAGCAATTTGCTCTCTCCCACGTGGGGAAGAGCCACTTACTGTTGGCTGGTTGGTCTGATTTCATACACTCTCCTTCCACAATTGATACATCATCAATAGCAATGTCACCTTCGATCCCGGGACCCCGGATCCCTTCAAATATGAGCTGCAAAAAACATAAAGAACAAGCAGATCAGAGGGTGAAAAATGGAAGTTGTTCAGCTGCATTTTGCATGGTTTTCAGCTACAACAGTGGGCTTGGATTAATTTACAGACACTTTCTACGGTGCAGAAAAACACAGCCGAGTTTGCACGTACTGGCAAGGTGAACCCAGAGGATGCGTGACCCATGGAGGGTTTTGTATTTCAGAATGACCTGAAAAAGCAGAGCTGCTAGTCATCTGCCTGGTCGTCTACCTGAGGTCTTCAGGTCAGCTTTGCCACTAAGCTAACTGCAATGTGTGTGCATCTCTAAGTACAATATTCCTGGAGCAGGATTAAGGAGAGAAAAAGAAGAGATTTGGGGTGTTTTTCCCAGAAATTCTTGCCACCCGAGGCGAGCTGCAGAGGCACAGCTTGAAGAACAGCACCTGCAAGGTGTTGGAAGGCTGAGCATCCACTCGACAACAGACTGCGTGAACACACCCCAACAGCTCCACAGTAACATGACGTTTCTGGCTGGCGAAGGCGGCCCGACCAGTCCTTCCCACATCTCCCACCCTGGGTTCCCTCATCAGCACCTCCCTGTTGTCAAGAGGACAGGAGCTGCCCCCCGCACCCCTCGCCTGGAGGGATGTTTCCTGACCCATGGAAGCTTGGGAGAAACCTCTCAGGAGCTGGGTTGCTGTCTCTGCACCCGTAAAGCAAAGCTAAATTTATCCCAAGGGATTAGGAAGGGACTTACATCAATTTGGATCCCCTGAGGTCCCACAGTGATCTCATCAGTGGATTTTAAATTCCCAAATTTTCTGCTGCGGCAGGAATTGACAGTGACAGTCCCGCTCCTCTCCTGCCCCTTTCAGTGGCTCATCATCATGTCTAGAAGCTTTGATCCCTTTTTTTTCTATTTATCAGGGGACACTGGGATGTGTTTTGTCACAGAGAGGGTCAGGGTAGAGATTTTATTCCTCTTTAAGGCTTTAACCTCTGCTAAATGGATGCCTGTCATTTCAAGGTCCTATTAATCACTTTCTGTCACATATTCCAAGTGTGAGACCCCAACTGCTCCACCCGGGAAGGGAAACGGTGCCTGTACGGAGATGGGTGGCATGTTGCAAGCTCAGTAACACTGATGTTTGGTATTGACTATGGATTACTATTCTACTAAAACCCAAAGCTACCTGCTCTCCTTCCCCAGCCCCGATGTGATGCTGTCCTGCCGTACCGCTGATTAATTAGCTTGGCAGCAGAGTGGACTCATCCTGTGTTACAAGAAATTTATTGACTGGAAAACTTCAAAGCCTTTCTAAAGAGATGAAGGAATTATGTAAGGTATATTTCCCAAGCAGCACCATTTGCACAGTTCTCTCTCCTTTCCCTTTTTCCTACCCCCGCTCAGTCCTTTGAAATATTTTTGGTTAACTTAGATGACAAGTTTTTTTAACTTTAATCTGCAACAATATATGCATGAAATTCAATGTCTTTTGTAAGGGCGTGCTGTGGCACTAATGGAGACATTAACTCTTGGGGGTAGAGTCGATCTGAAAAAAAAGATATTCATCCCATCTGGAGCAAAATACTTAAATTACACATCATAATGATCTAACTGCATCAGGGAGATGTCTGGGGCACTCGGATGGGCTCTGTCTGTTGTCACGGATTTCAGCAAACTCTTCTTCTGGCAGCTCCCGACATTTCTTTGCTCATTAATACAGTTCACCCAGAGCTGCTCGTTTGAAATTAATACCTTTCATTATAAATGATGAGTAAACACTCGGGGCAGTGGAAGATGACCCCGTAAATCACAGGGGTCCAGCAGCGAGTCCAGCTGGATGAGAATCACCCAAGGACCGTATCACGGCAGTGCACAATGCCACCAGACGTACGCGACACATTTCTTTGCTCATTAATACAGTTCACCCAGAGCTGCTCGTTTGAAATTAATACCTTTCATTATAAATGATGAGTAAACACTCGGGGCAGTGGAAGATGACCCCGTAAATCACAGGGGTCCAGCAGCGAGTCCAGCTGGATGAGAATCACCCAAGGACCGTATCACGGCAGTGCACAATGCCACCAGACGTACGCGACTCTCCGCTCTGCCTCTCCGCGGGGCGCACGTCCCTCAGCCTTGGCCGCAGTCACAGCTCGTCCTTTTGCTGAGCTGAGCATCCTCGTGAGGTGCCTGAGCCTACAAGCCATGTATTTACAGCCCGCCCGTCGTCTTCAGGAAGAAATTCTTCCCAGAGAGGGTGGGGAGGCACTGGGACAGGTTGCCCAGAGATGTTGTGGATGCCCCATCCCTGGATGTCTTCAAGGCCAGGCTGGATGAGGTTGGAGCAACCTGGTCTAGTGGAAGGTGTCCCTGCCCATGGCAGGGGGGTTGGAACTAGATGATCTTTAAGGTCCCTTCCAACCCAAACCATTCCATGATTCTATGATTCCTAAGCCAGGTGACAAGGTCTGTGCGGGGAGCGCCACATACCGCCGTGCGTCTGGAGCAGGAGACTCCATCGGTATTTTACTGAAGTGCGGTGCTGTAGGTTAATTACCCTAACAAGGTGGATATTAATGCAACAGGGAACTGTAATTGGGAAAACACTAAGTTTTTCCATAATTTACCCTGTTGTCTGAAAACGGCGCCTCAAGTAATTATCCCCCTGACAACTTTTGGACTCTACCTCGGACGACGGGCAGTATTCAGCTCGAGAGGGAAGTGTCTTCTCTTCTCCCCAGAGAACAGCTTGCCCTCCTGCTCCTTGGCAGCAGGCGTACAACCAGTCAAGGGAGCTTAAAGTCAAATCTTTCCTGATAATGAAAAACACTGTTTCCAGACAAAAGGACTCTATACAAACACAACGGCCAGCATTTAATTAAAATCTGCATTTGGCAGTGGGTTTTATGGGCCTCAGAGACGGGTTGCTATTAGCCAGCTTGGCCACATGCTCGGAACAAATCACTGCAGATGAGTGTTGGCAGGGCACGGAGCACAATCCAGCCTGCAGTTCACAGCTATTTGCAGGAGGTGCCAGATGATCAGAATCCACTATCAGTATCCCGCAAAACCTATTATCGGCGTGTCCGTGACTTTAGAAAGCTGTTGTTAAAAATACTGCATTTAGCTGAAGAAAAGAGGGGCTTACATGAAGAGCAAAGGCTACTCTGCTCTTAACAGGGGAAATGGAAATAAGCCCTCATAGTGTCCGCAGAGTTATCCCGAGTGTCCCCGGGGGATTCAGCCTGTGCTTCTCCAACAGGATTTCAGACAGATTTTACCTTCCTGGCCAGTCTCCTGATAAGAAGTAGAGAGGAGGCTCATGAATGCCCCAGCCGGACAGCGTGATGACAGGAGTGTAAGCCCCTTACACTCGCTGCCAGGGGCTGAAAATCTCAGTGGTCTGGCAGGGGCGTTTACTTAAGGGCAGGTCAGTCCCTCTTCTGCCAAAAAAGTCTTTGACACAAGAAGGTGTCAAGGACAGGGTAGCTGAAGGCAGTGGCAGTGCTCCTGCTCCAATCTGAACTAAAACTGACACCTTCCTAGACACCAGCGTGCCATGTGCCACTACCACGTGCTCTCTTTCTGTCTGCTCATTCTGTAAAAATACTCAGTGAGTGCTTCACTGACCCAGCTTTCATGCAGTACTTCTTCTGATTCAAAGCCCTGTAGTCCTCCAGTTCTTCATGAAAGCAACTTGGCTATATATCACAGGGACGGGGAAGGTATAAACCAAACCTTTTACCCATATAAATTAACCCATAAAAAGTTTTAATTTCTGTGTCAGTGTACTGTTTTACTGCAAAGATTCACTTCAATTCACACTCCTTAAATTTAACTGGGAGGTTTATATTCTTTCCTACTTAGACTCCTAAACGGAAAATAAAGTTTGCTTGATGCAAGAGCTGCTAAAAAAGTAATTTAAGGTCCCAGCCACTCTGACATTTATTTGTTGTATTTGTGCAGAGCTTCACGGCTTTACATTCATTTTATGCTGAAGCCTTTAAAAACAACAATGTAAAAGGTGAAAAAAAGCCAAGCAGAGGAGCTCCCAGTTTGGGTACCACCAGTGAATACGGTTTAAAAGCAATGCGAGTGAGGTGCACTGGTAGCCAAGGTGACTCCTGTAACTCTTCCGAAAGCAAGAGGGCCCACTGCAGGAGGTGATGCTCTCCACAGTGGAAGCAGCAACCTGGGTACCGGGAGCTGCTGGCTCTGGCCTCCGGCTGCTCTGCCAATGCCTCACCCCGAATGTCCCCCTGCAAGGGAGACACCCCGGCTTGCCCTTCCTCCCCTGCTCTCTACACTGAGGAGGTGACCCCAGGTCTGCACCCATCACCCTCCTCCACTCCTCTGCTCTGCTGGTGCCAAATTCTTTGTCTCTGCGTGGAGCTGATGGCCTCATCCCTCCCTACTTCTGCTAAGCCCGACCCAGGTCTTGGGAATCCCCCTCAGGCACAGTGACGATCACCCTGGTTCCAGCTTCCCCAGCCACCTCTTCTCGCCCTTTCCCAGTCCATTTATTATGTTCAGATATGAAATAATTTTTGTCTCCTTCACTTCTTGGATCTATCTTGACTTCACCAGTGCAGAACTCCCGTCAGCTCCCTTGTACCTGGCCCCACACTCCGAGTGTACTTTAACACTCGCATCCCTCTCCTTCTTCCTCCCCAGTCCTGCCGCTTCGTTCCACTCGAATGTCACGTAAGGCTGCACTTGGCATATCCCTCTCCCTCAGTTTTCCTCAAATCTCCCTCCATGCAATGCTTCCGTGAGCACGTACGCCAACCCATTTCTCTTCCGTCATTGCCTCTCATGCGTGGAAATAGAAACAAAGGGTCAGGACCAGCGATCACCCATAAACTGAACCCCAACCTGCATGCTCAAGACAGCAGTTTTGACTTGCCCTGAATGACTCTTTTTCCCAAAAGCCATTATCTGCCCCAGGGGACCTGGAGGTCACACAGAGGGGACAGAGGGCCTGGAGTGACTTGTGACTCCCATCTTCCGCGGCGACACTCCCAGCCTCAAACACAAGTGGCAGCTGCCTTTTTGGGTCTGTTCCAGTTGCAAACAGCTCCCAGGGTGAAGGAGAACTGCCCGTAACAGCCCATCGGCATCTCGCTGTCAAACCGACAACGAAACGTGTGAAAACCTGCCGTGACTTGCACGTGCCTAGCGAACAGGCGCGCAGCTCGGCTCTACCAGGTCTGCGCAGGCAGCACCGATGCTTGGGTACCTTCCAGCACAGACTCAGCGACACTCCCTCTTCTGCAGAAAAAGCATCTGTTTCAAGAGACCTCTAACACAGGCACTGTACCAGGGACCCCAAATATTTTTTTCACAGGAAGTAATTTTGTATTCCAGCTGCTAATCTGAAATAAAAAACCATTTTATGTCAGCTACCAGCATCTTCTGAAAACCGAGAGACATTTTGTCTTCAAGCAAAGAGCTGCTGTTCTGCCATTAAAGTGCGTATTATTAAGCTCTACGGTGCTCACCTATTTAAAGCAAGGAAAGCAATTATCTGTCCATAAAGCAGCTTTCAGAGCTGAAATGAAGCTGTGAAATCCTGTGTCGGAAGGAAAGGGTCAGCATAAACACAGGCTGCCCCCCCCACCGCCTCCGAAACCCAAATACCCCCGTTCGCAGTGTGCCGTGCACAAGCCCCTACCTGAAATGAAGTTGGGGGGTTTATATTGACGCGGGCTTGGTTCCAGTGCTGCCCCTTATTTCCACTTGAAGACCACAACGGGTTCTCTATCGCCGTCTGACCTTTCAACCGCAGGTAAACGTTCAAGCTTCCTGAAAGAGAGGTGGAGAACTGGAATTGGTTAGGCTCTCTGATGGATATTGGGCTGGATACAGCAGCAAGTCCCCTCCTCATTCCCCCCTTCCCATTTTGCATGGGCCTCTGAGTGGATGTGGAGAGATTCTTGTCGTGAATTCCAAACCTTTAGGCTTGGGAACAGTGTGTGCTGGCGATGTGAATTCACAGCGGAGGAAACTGGGCGCGCAGGGGTGGGATCCCCATCTGCAGGCAGGGCACTGCACCCGCTGCTCCCTGCAGCCCAGCAAGGACATGAGGCTTCCCAGGCTGAGAGGAGCAAAAAGAAGTTTTCTGTGTTTTTGTGTGAATGAGATATTTATAACCTTCTTACCCAAGGATAAATAAGCAACTTGGTTGCTTCATGCTTAGTTCTTGCTTACAAAGACTGTCCAACTTCTTATTTACTCTGTAGTTTAATGAATGGAGTGCCACAGTGCCTGGCAAATCTATCTCAGAGGTAGATGTGATGCCCTTACTCCTGATAAAGATTATTTTTGAAGGCAAACATAATCCTCTGGGTCAAAATCACCTCAGTAAAGTCTCCTCACTGGGAGAAAACCCCCCCTAGACCTGGGTCTTTCCCCACCCTTGACCGTCAGGTTACTGGTTCCAGCACAGACGTTGCCTGCAACAGGTATCAGATGGTCTGAATGCAGCAGCCCTTCTCTCTGGTTAACCATGAACAGAATCCAGACTATCCTGGTGCACCAAAAGAATTCGTTGCCTTCATTTATCTGGGTTCAGTAATTGACATAATTTGGAGATTCTGTTCCTTGCCCACCAGCATTACCTGCAGAGGTGTGGGGCAGTGGTGTCTCTCTGTACTACATAAATCACTGCATTTGCCTTCACGTGGGAAAGTTTGGACAGTCAGATTCACATAAGACTCCTGTTTTCTTAGGGTGTTAGGCATGGCAGCTGGGAAACTCATACAAATTATATTTGCAATGAGACCTCTCAGATCTGAGGCAGCTGCACAGTGACTCAGCTCCTGCTAATAAAAAAGTTCTTATTTCTAGCAATGGCAAAACTCAGTCCCTTGCAAAACATAAGGCTAAACGCATAATGGAGCAGCAAATATTCTCATCACGGCTGTTGCACCAGGGTGCCCAGAATGAGGCCATACATCTTCTTGGAAGGAGGTGGGGAAGCGATGCTCGCCGGAGTGACTGGGCGGCACCGTGTCTCCCACCTGTCTCCCACTGCAGCATTTCATTTTTCAAATGCAGGGGAGGGTGCAGAAGCAGCACAAAGGAAACACGGCTTCTAACGAGGACGTTCTCTGCCTACGCGCACGCTACTGGGCGAAACAAAAAAGACCTGGAATAGAAAGGGCTTGCGAGGAGGGACCTGCTCGGGAGGGTTCCCTGGAGCAGCCCAGCCCAGTGACACGTCGCAGGGCTGCGCGGGGCTGCTTGCAGCAAGCGGCTGCTCAGCCGCAGGCCTCTTCCAAACAGCAACAACAGCTCTTGGGCAAGGTTTATATTATTCACCTACCACAGTTCTCCCTTCCTTCCCATCTGCTTCTCTCCCAGACTTATTTCAACAACTGTGCTGGGTCTACGGTCTGAAAAAAGGCTGGGTCTTAGACAAGACTCCCTGAAGTTATAAAATAAGAGTAATACGCTATTTTTGTAAAAGCCAACAAGCAATGCCCGTATCAGGGGGTGAATTGCTGGCTAATTGTGTCACTTGTTTGTGCAGGCTGATACAGCCTGTGCCGCAGGGCTGTTTGGAATAGCTGAATAATTTAGGTATGAAAAGCATGTAATTCCATCACTGCCGAGGATGCAGAGATTTAAGATTGTTCATAGCATACGCAGCCTGTGTCACGTGATTTCTTCAAATTAATAGCAGAATGATACCAGTCTTACTTAAAGTATAAACTAGCCGTTACGGTACCAGGCATGCTCAGCCGTTGCCCAGCAAGTCAGTCGGGATGGATGTACCTGCCTGACCCTCACTGCTAGATACGCACACACATCTGCCCGCAGCGTCGCTGCAACCTTAACTGATGGCACCTGCAACAGATGCTTATCCATGAAATTCTGCCAATATGGATTTGGAAAAACTACGTAGCATTTGCAAAGCTGATGCTGTGTGGGAGGATGGGTTGGCTAGAGGGTTCACACTGAGATGTGTCCAGCAAGAATTTGTCTAGAGATTTCAAACCACACCAAACTCCAGAGAAATGGGTAACCAATTGACTCATCTGTACCAGGAGCAGCGTGGCCAGGGGGGCGAGGGAGGGGATTCTGCCCCTCTGCTCCGCTCTGGGGAGACCCCCCTGCAGTTCTGCTCCAGCTCTGGGCCCCAACAGCAGGAGGACACGGAGCTGTTGGAGCGAGTCCAGAGGAGGCCCCGGAGATGCTCCGAGGGCTGGAGCCCCTCTGCCCTGGGGACAGGCTGGGGGAGTTGGGGGGGTTCAGCCTGGAGAAGGGAAGCTCCGGGGAGACCTCAGAGCCCCTTCCAGTGCCTGGGGGGTACAAGAAAGCTGGGGGGGACTTTTTACAAGGTCAGGGAGTGACAGGACAAGGGGTAACAGGATTAAACTGAAAGAGGGAGATTGAGATGGGCCATCAGGAAGGAATTCTTCCTGCAGAGGGTGGGAGCACTGGGACAGGTTCCCAGAGAAGCTGTGGATGTCCCATCCCTGGGAGTGTCCAAGGCCAGGCTGGATGAGGTTTGGAGCAACCTGGGCTATGGAAGGTGTCCCTGCCCATGGCAGGGGGTGGCACTGGGTGGGCTTGAAGGTCCCTTCCAACCCAAACCATCCTGGGATTCCATGATTCTATGACTCCTGAGTAGGAGACAGAAACACCTGTGAATTAAGGAGTAAAGTTCACTTCCTGACAGCACCCTGCCAAGAGCACAGGGTGGTCTGGAGACGTCTCCAGCTGCAACGCTGGGATGGCATTTTGAGCACTCATCACTGCAAACACCAACAGCTTCCACAGTGTGCTCTGACAACACGTTCTGCTTCCACTTTTTGTTTCATGATGGCTCTCTAATGACAAGAAAAATTATTATTCTTGGCGTGTGAATTAGAAATGCCCCATTTTGGGGTGCAGATGGAAAAATCAGAAATATAGATTGTTTTAAAAGATGGTGACAGCTATAATGGAAATACAACCTCTTTCTGTCTGAACACAGAGACACAATAAGGACACTGACTCTTCATTTTCTTGTTCCTCTACAATTGCTTATTGTTTGCTGCAAATCAAGTAATGGGGACTCCTATTTTTCTTATGTTTTTGGGGTAACCTACGTTCTGCCTTGGAAGGATGCGGAGCGAAGCGCATGCACCTCCTCTGGCAGCCAGCACTCTCAGAGTTAGCTCTGTATGATCCGTCTGGAATTACAATCTGCCTTGTAAGTAAGAGCCATCTATTTCAGGTAAAGAAACACTTTATCTTTCGGAATCTAACTGCCATGGCATGGGATGTAGGTCCCTGTTTATCTCGTCAGAGCCGTGCTATAGCGTAAGCGCTAATCTCAGATCTCTGCTGTGCTCTCTGCAGAGACTCCTCAGTACCTCTCCTTATCGCTACAGAAATTTTCAGCCTCTCTCCTGAGACACTGAAGACCCGAGCTGGATAAACTGGTAGGCTGTTTGTTTTCATTATAGTGCAACAGCCATATTCTCAAATTGATGTCACTGGGGTCACTCTATTTTAAGAATGGAGGATGAAGTATCTTCCTCCAAGCCCCCAAGACCAGTCCACACCAGTAACAGAGCATCATGCCAGGATGGTTTTCCATTTTACTAGGGATCTTCTTAAACCTTGTTGGAAATGCAGAAACATTCTGATGAACACTGAAACTGTTTTGGAAATAAAGTATGTTGCCCCTGAGGCAGGGGAATAACAATCCTAATGCTGCTTGGAAATCATAGAGATACATATGGACCTGTTGGAGCGAGTCCAGAGGAGGGCACAGAGGTGCTCCAGCCCCTCTGCTATGGGGACAGGCTGGGAGAGTTGGGGGGTTCAGCCTGGAGAAGGGAAGGCTCTGGGGAGACCTTAGAGCCCCTTCCAGTGCCTGGGGGGGCTACAAGAAAGCTGGGGGGGACTTTTTCCAAGGGCAGGGAGTGACACGACAAGGGATAACAGGTTTAAATGGAAAGAGGAAGATTGAGATTGGACATCAGGAAGAAATTCTTCCTGCAGAGGGTGGAGAGACACTGGAACTTGACAATCTTCAAGGTCTTTCCCAACCTAACCAATTCTATGACTCTATGAGATCCCCTAGAGCCTTCTCCTCTGCAGGCTGAGCAGTCCCAGGTCTCAGCCTCTCCCCAGATATTCTCCAGTCCCTTCAGAAACTCTGTGGCCATTCATTTGGCCCTAGGTCTCTTGTCCTGGGGAGCCCAGCACTGGGCCCAGCACCCCAGCTGTGTCTCAGCAGGGCTGAGCAGAGGGAGAGGACCCTCCATGGACCTGCTGCCCATGCTGACGCAGTCCAGGAGGCTGGTGGCCATCTTTCCTGCAAGGGCACATCGTCTGAAACCCTGTGTCATGGCAAGGTTTGATTCGTCTGGGCAAATCATTGTGTTATAATAATCCCTTTCCTAACCCTTTACACAAACCTTTAAAAACTCATTCAAGTAGTCACCTCATGACTATGACTCTTCATACCATAATCATGTGCTTAAATCCTTGAAGTCTTGGAATATCATCACTCATTAGGTTTTCTTATCTCTTCATTATCCTCATGTGAACGATTTCAATGATAGAGTTCACATCTGGAGAATCAAATGGTATATATATTTGCTCATTTTGTAATTTATTTCTTGTTTGCATGTTGTAGTCTCGTGTTCTGTAACAATTTTTCAGGAGGAATTAAAACAGTGAATTTGGTAGGCATGTATGTGTCTGCAAACACATGGTGTAGCTATTAATTTCCTCTTTTTCTGTCAGTCTAGTCTTTCAAGACATAAAAAGTAATTTTGTACAAACATATGCAAAAGTAGATAATTGTGAATATTAGCTAAAATGATGGTAACTGTACTTTGTAACCTTATGGAACAAAGAGATATTGAGCAATTTTGGGTTTCAACAACTAGGTGTCCACATGGCCACGAACACATCCTGTGTAACTATGACCACTAATCATCATTGTGACCATCCTCACCTCTGGGTCAGCTCCTTCATCAGCCAAGATTATACATGTCGATCCAAGAAATTCCACATAAACAAGAAAGGGCGGTTTCAGCAAAAAAAGCTAAGGATGCAGACACTTGCTGAAAAGGCAGCCCAGGAGAACAAACCCTCAAATCGTACCAATGAGAGGTCACTGGTCTCTGGGCAGATGTCAGCCTCCACACTTTACCCTAACCCTAAGACATTCCAGAAAAAAACTCTCTGAGCCTTTAAGTTCATAACTTTACTTTTCACTGTCATATACCAGAAATAGCTTTGCAGGGCAGTGTGTATATATATATATTTAGCATAGCATGGCTCAATCTCTTCCTTCCCACAAACAGCCAAGCTCCTGCTGCAATGCAGAGCCAGGAGAATTTAGACTTGGGGCTGCATTCACATGCTCAGCAGTACAGAGAAAACTAACCAACTACTACGTGAACTTGTCTGCTCTATTTAAAACCTGGGCTCTGCCTGGTTGCCGGCGAAGTTTTCCTGAAGCAACCTACCGGAATGCACGGTGAGGATGTGCCTGCCCTTGAAATATATACAAAAATACACCACGTCAGGTCAGCCTGGCACTGGAAAGCCTGTTGACACACTGGTAAGTACCAAGCACCCCACAGGGATTTATAGGATTTGTAAAAATTGGCTGTCTATTGTTTATACTTTAGTATTTTCCCCACCCCTTTTTTTCATACTACGCAAAGAAATGAAACCTGTGTGTTGAAAGAGCTATGACTAAACCCAGACTTACAGATCCACGTTGAAAACGTATAAACTCACAGCTTGTGAGCAAATTGTTCATGACTCTTACAGAGGATCCGCGTGCTGCTGCGTGGCACGCAGGCTGTGCTGCTCCGGCTGCCAGCGCACGAGGAGTGCTGCTGCTAACTGCTTGATCCTGAATCTATCAAGAACTGCCTCAAAATTCTGTGTTAGCAGCCGGCAAAGTCTCTGCAAACACCACCTTTTTCTAAAGTTCCCTGCCCAAAACCTCACGCATGCATGAAACACTTCTCATCTGTGAGAGGGGCTCCTGTTAGCGTGGGGAGTGGAAAACAGAGTTTTACAGCAATTAGGATGCTCTCAGGCACCGCTCTTGCCCGCTTTGGTGGCAACTGGCCCTCACACGTGTTGACAATCCTCCCCCGCTTTTCTTTCACGCAAGTGGATGCTGTTTCTCCCAAAGTGAAAAGACAAGGTCGCTGGCTTTCTCTCACCTATGTGCTGTCCATACATGTGATAGTAGAAGCTAAAACAATAGGCTGTGTTCGTAGCTCCGTAAGGGTTTTTTGGAGCGACACTGAAAACAGGACTAACAAGTCTGGCCTTTTCTCCTTCCAGCCGGGGGCGCGACGTCTCAATGTACATGTAGAAACCTAGGGGAAGTCCAAACGGAGAGCGTTAGGTTGCAGCCTTCACAATCCAGCACGTACACGTGCTGGAAGACGCCGGGGCTCTCATGCATCTTGATGCATTTTTCATGTTCATCTGATATCACCATGGTTTCTGGGACATACTACTTCTGCATTAAGCCCATGCAGTTTCCACAACTGCTTCAAAGATGTTTTCTACCAAGAGTAAAATCAGGGCTAGCAGGTCAGTCCTCGTAAACAACTTTAAATCGATCTTACACTATGTGCAGGAAAAGAAAAAAAGCTTTTACGATGGGGTTCAGGCCTTAGTCTCAAGGTTATGGTTTGGTCCCATAAGCAGTGAGTGGGGAGGACTTGTAAAATAAAGAGAAAATACCTCGATGGAAACCTTTCAAGGTACATTTTCAACTGGCCATGTCAATCACATGTTTGAAAGCTCACTTTCATGAAACAGCCAATATTCATTTATTCTGCTCTTGGACTCTGCCAACAACAGATAGTCTTTACTTAATCCAACCAAGCAAACACAATGCAGCGTGATTTTTTTTCCCCTTTGGTAGTGCAAGCAGGGGGCACAGAATAAAATAGCATGAGTTACTGCAGTACGTGATAAATTCAGCAGAATACGTCTGCCTTTTCAAAAGGAAATACAGCCTGCAGCCAAGATGGCACGCTTCTGTTAACCGGGGTAGCAGACTGAAAATTACACATTTCAGCAACACCCAAAGTAACAACGGGGCAAAAAGAAAGTCTCATTGTGACAGTCTGGGAGAGTCCAAGTAATAATTTAAATGACATAAACCAGAAGAATATTTCAAGACTGCCAGAATATTTCCCCGTTAGGCTATTGCATGAAAGCAAACGCTTTGGAAACGGCACAACAGAAACAATACAAGATGGTTAATGGCACCCTTAGTGGGTGGTGCTTTGGGACCAGCCGCACGCCTCAGCACTGGCAATTTCTTTTAGAGGTCCTGGAAGTCTGCTTATTCGTCGTATGATCAGGAAAAACGACGTGGCTGGCTGGAGTGGCTGTCCTGGACCGGTCCCTCGCAGGGGGACCAGGCACACCGCTGGAGCTTACCTTCCTTGGAGCCAGTCCGATCCGCGTTCGGCCCCGTGTTTGGGGTGTATTTTGTGTCTCTAGTGGCAGTGCTTTGTTTTGTCCAGTCGAAATTGTCCGTGTCATCTTGAGTGAAAAGGCAAATGTTACCATCCTCGAACCCACAGTGGAACTCCCCTGCCAAAGCAGCAAATGAGCAGAAATTTAGCGGCTGGAGCTATTCATCCTATGCTTGTTTGTCAAAATATCTGCCAATTCTAACAAACGCTGTGGGGTGATGCTTACTAAGAACACTGGAAAACAGACATACATTTACATACATACATACATAGACATACATGGAACTAGATGATCTTTAAGGTCCCTTCCAACCCTAACCATTCTGTGATTCTATGATTCTACATTTATATTACATCAGTTTTTAGTGTTTGGTGTCTGTTTTCTTTTGCAGTAACCTCAATGAAACCATGGTCATCAATCTGCATTGGTGTTACTTGAAATGATATTCAAATCTTCCTGTACAGCTCCAATACACATATTTAGATATATACAATGGCCCTTAGAGACCTCGTGTCTTCTTACCCAGCTAGCATTTCTAAAAAGCTGAGAAGAAGCGGCAGCACATTTGTAAAATATGCGGGGGGAAAAAAGTCAGAAGTGGGTTATTTTGGTTTAGGGATGAGATCATTAGGGAAAAGAGGAGATCAGCTTTTCAAAATGAAAACACTAGTGACATCTAAACTATTCTTGGTTTTCAATAGGGATGGGAAAGCAAGTAATGGATAAAACGAGAGCAAAGGAGCTTTAGGGTAGGCATGAAGAAAATCTCTAAAAATCAGGACAGTGAAGCACATGAATGGGTTGCTCAGGAAGAGCACTGAATCCCCATCACTGGATGATAATAATCAATTAGACAAATATCTGGGAGGAAGTTTAGACCCATCTTAACCTGTATGGGCAGGAGAGGTGACTGCATCATGTCCTGAAGACATCTCCTAGACTTTCACTAAGATTTCTGTTATGCACTTGAGGTCAAGTGGCAAAAGCTTAGGTCTAATGAATAAACATGCTGAGAACCCCAGAGAGGATTACTGGGATCCTCTCCTTTGTGAAACAGAGATCCGTGAGACACACCAGTCGGGGGATCCTACCTGCTGGGTGATGATGGGATCAGAAAGTCCTACTGTCAGGCATTTAGGAACCAAAATAAATCGAAGCTTCAAGGTTCAGTTTTCATCTCAGAACAGAGTAAGGCCCCGTATAGTAAAATGTGCAAAAGCTTAATTTTATGCACATGAACAGATCCCGCTGAGTTTACTCTTCCAGCAAAGTCAATTGATTTATCTGAGAAAACAAGCAAATCTCTCTTCTCTAGGGAGAATGCAGCTGTCTTCCTACTGTGTCAGCTACCGCCTTCTTTATAGGGGTGCAATTTATATTCATTGTTACGAGGAACTCTAACACCAGGCGTCATGGGATTATTCATCTGTGTTAAATTGAGAAGGTATATAAATGTTTGCAGGTTTGGGGTTTTGGTGAACTATAAATCCACTTAAGCCACTGGAGCCTCACTGTAAATCGGTGGAGACAGAGGGACCTGGAGCTTAGCTTGCATATGTACTGCTAAGCAAGCATGCTGGTCTGAAGCTTATTTAAAAGCAGGTACTGCTGCAGACTGAAAAAGCAGGCTTGAAAAATGCATTCCAAACCACAAAGTGCATTAGGAGTGATTTCCAAGTCTTCCTCGTTCTGCTTCTGCCCGTCCAAAGAACAACACAAAGCGTACCCTCTCCACAACAATCAGCATAGAAAACCATTTTATAAAACCAGGTAATCACAAAAATGCAGTCCACAGAAACTTCCTTGGATATAAGTATCTCAAGCAGGTTTTTACTAGAACCTCCAGGAGAACTAATTTCCTAACGCACAGTTCCTTAACTGGCAAACATGGCTGATATCATTCGCGTGATCCGGAGCAAATTTCAAGAGCTTGCACCTTGGTTTGGTTCTGGAAGCAAGGTCTTCTGAATCCTGAATTCTGAATGATGAAGAAGGGGCAATATAGAAAACCATTCAATGGAGAAGCATCATCCTGGGCATTTCAGAGAAGAACTACAAATAGAGGTCTGGTTGTGGTTCTTCCTGAGAGATGAGCAAATCAAAGAACGAGGCCACGAGGAACACACGTGGGCAGATTACATCCCAAATCCTCTGAGAGAGAAGCATGTGAATAGATGCAGACTGATATATCCGTCTTTATCCCGAAGATCAGGAAGAGAATAGCAAGGCCCTGACAAAGCTCTTGAAAGCCACAAGGACTCGCATGAAGCACTCTGAACAAATTCCAGCTGTGCCTCTCATCTCCAAGAACACATTTTACACAACTCGAGCTTCAAATTCACATGGTTTATGCTGTATTTTGTGCATTTGGCTTCTACCTCCACTTATGCAAGCCCTTCCTGAGCAAAAATAGTGCTTCTTCTACAGAGTGTGATGAAATTAAAGGGAAAAACAGTAACTAAAGGAGAAAAGTTCTGACTACCAGATCTGGTCCTGCCGCAAAGTGAATTAACACAAAGCATTTTCAGCCATCCAGCAGTTTCTAACACTGCCCCCTCCAGTACCTTAAACCCTGCACTTGCATGCCACACCACACCCTCAGAGCTTCGTGAAGAAATTCTGCATCATCAGAACAAAATATTTGAGTTTAAAAATAAGTAAATAAATACTCAGGCCAGATGAAAAAAGATAAGTAGAAGTTTGCCATTTATTTAAGATGAAGCCGCTGGTTTCCAGCATTTGGAATATATTGGAAAAGGTTAGTGCTAAATGTTCTTGGCGCTAAAACCTTCTTTAAAAATGACAGAAGAATAAAAATGGGAAATAGTTCCCCAGGATTAGCTCAGTACTTTTCTTATGAAAGAGGTAGGAGCATTTAAATAGATCCGGATGGTCTTGACCTGTTCATTAATGGGGCACACTGAGTGCAGGAGGAACAGCCAGCCCTTCCCCAAGCACCCATGGGTGCTCCAGCTCAGGGCACCGCTCAGACCTCTGCGGTTTGGTGAAAGCATGAATAATGATGCTAATTAACATTAAAGATAGTGGTCAGTTGTTGTCAAAGCACATGCCAGCTCTGGAAGTGGATTCAGGTTATTAATAATTCCATTGCCAATTAGGGCAAAATCTGAAACTGTTCTCAAGGTGAAACACTCTTCGTTGTAGTATGATTTTTTGTCATCTATTTCCATAAAACCCAAGTTGAACATGACTCCCTAACATCTACTCTCTTCCATTATTCAGGCGTAACACTTAGTTGCACTAACTGATAGGAAATCCTTACGGTTTACAATAAATGGTTTACATTTTATGCTACAAAATAAAACGTAGATCTGAGGCTACATTTCAGTGTCTGATGTTACTTGCTGAATTGCAGAAATTTCATAAAAAAGAGGGATTCATGCAATGAGATTATTCCAGAATTGAAGCAGGAAGAACATGACTTCAGTTTCCAGTACAGGTTTCTTGTTCCAGTTGAACACAGCTCTTATTCTTCATTCACAACGGTGTAAATAAAGCAAGAATTCAGTCCATCAGGTTTAGGAAAAAACAGAACTTTTGTAGAAAGTACAAATAATGATAAGATTGAATCTCTTACGGAAGAGAGATTCTCTCTTCTCCATCTTACTGGTTTGAACCCATTTGCAGACCATGATTTCTTCCCTGTCTAGGGATTTCCCTCAGAAAATCTCTGGGGAAAAAAGCAACCCAAAATTTTACCATCTCTTTGCTTGTCTGAAAGGAGATACTCTGGGTATCCTACAGATCTGTCAGGCAAACTTCCCATCGCCACCAGTACAGGGAGAGGCAGACCTAGGAGGCAGACGAAGGAAGCGGTGGAGAGGGTCCCAGCGATGCCCTGCCCACCTCGAGCTAACCCACTCCCCATTGCCAGGGCCATTTGGATGCAGCGTACCACGTGCCTACCACAGCCGCTGCTTTGCACTGAGCGATACAGACATTTTGAAAATTAGACAGTTTCAGATCTTAAAATCATAGAGAACTACAGTGTGAAGCACTTGGGATTGGAATGTGATTTTTTCTTAACATCATAGTGTATATATTTAATATATTAATTAGCGAGGGTCTCATCTACTGCTCATTTAAGTCAATGGGAGTGGTTCCTCCAGCTCCCGTGAGCTTTGAACTAAGCCCTGATTAATTATTGATGTATTGCACAAGATCTTCTGCAAATAAGATTAAAATTTACAGAAAGGCTTAGCCGTGGTGCGTGAGAGACGGAGAGAGAGGCTGCTCGCACAGCCCGGTGCTGCTTTTCTGCCCAATTCTGGCTGCACTACAGCAGTAATTACAGCAGGCAGAATCCCAACCCCTGTATTTTTTTGCATATGTTATTAAAAGCAAGAATAATGTCAGAATATGTTCCCCCAGCAGAACATTCATTTAGTGTGGTGTGGAAGAAAATCATGAAGCTGACAGATGCGGGGAGCGTCAGGAATAGGGTGGTTTTGCTGGGACATACCAAAGCTCCATCCCTGCCTCCTGTCTGCGGCACTTGCAGGCGTTTGGGGCCCATGGAAGGGCGTAAAAACAAGTTGTAAGAGAAATCCTTTCTCCCCTGCGACATCCCCGTGCCCGAGCACCAGCACATTAGCGAATACATAGTCTGAGTCTGCATTTTCAATCATGCCCATCGAGCTGACTCCTGTGAATTTCTCTAAACACTTTCACACCCTCGTTACACTTTTAGTCTCCACATTTCTCTGTGCAAATGGGTCCTGTACGCCCCTGCGTGAAAAAAGAAACATTCTTCTTTTGGTTTTAAAGCTGCTGACTCCCCCTGCAAGTATCAAAGTAACTCAAACACTGCAAATGTAGTTCTTAGGCAAGGACAAATGAATTCAGAAAATTTCATAAACTGATTTTTCCAAGATTTCTACCATACCTGTTGAGGGACAGACACAGTTCCTACACAGTACTTGAACTTCCAGCTCATCACCATTTACCTACTCCTATGACTAAACCACAGCATCACCCCCCACGCTGAGCCGGAAGGCCCACAAAAGGATGTTATTTCAGAACATTAGTATTTTCCTTTAGATGAACTCTTTGGGCAGTGGGAAAGAAAGATGAGCTGGAGCTGTAATTTTTCTTTT